TTTGATATTTGGTGGTAAATAAAAAGAAATAGATACATTAAATTCTAGGTTGGTTCGCTCCTTAATTAGTTTCCATCCATCTTGGGAGCCAGCTAGATATACCTCCTTCAATGCATGATCTCCAAGAACACTTTTTACTCATCCAACCGTATAGTCTGGGGACCCCAGAGAAGGGAAACATGCCTAATAATATAGTATATCCCTCTTGGCCAAGTATAAACCATCTTAGTAACTCAGCTCATTCCTTTAAAATGAACATTTTTAAAATTTGAAAAAAAAATCATATTTTTAAAATGTGCCCCTAAAGTTGTGTCTTAACAATTGGGACTTGTAACAAAAGACTATATTTTAGATGGCTGACCAGCCATTTTTGGTTTGGGGCTCACTATGCTAAAATAATTTTTGTTGTAGTTGAACATTGTAGGGGGAATGGCTGGGATGAGGTGATGTCATTAAAAGGCAGGTGGATTTGTTACCATTTTAGTAGGTTGAAAATCGGGCAAAAGTTTTCTTCAGAGATGCATTAAGTGTGTTGGGAATTTAATGTATCTATTTCCTTTTACTTACTACCAAATATCAAAAAAGTCAAAGTATTTTACTTATGGTGCTTTGCAGCCACATTTCAGTACTGTGATTTTGAGAGTATGAGGCATAGGTTTTTCTTCCTCTAATCATAATATCAAAATAGCCATATTTCTCTCCAATAAGACCTTCTTCTCCCCATCTCACTTTTTTCTATTTCCTGCCCAAAAAGATCTGTTGAACATGCTTTAAATCATCTTTGCACTGTTTAAAAAGAAGGACTGCTATTTATAATTACAGGAAGAGATAACCATTTCTATTGGTACTCTTAGTTCAGGATGAGAAGTAGTGAGGGATAGCTGCTATTTTGTCTAGACAAAAGAGAGAGGATTAAAACAACATCCTCTATTCTCTGCATGTGCCCAGTTCCTTTTCCAGTAAATACTAAATTCAGTGGTTGAAATGAATACAATTCGTTGAATTTGTTTTGTAGATGCACTGATACATTCTTCAGAAAACCCTCAAATGTTACAAAGAGGGGAATCATACCATTCGTATTATGAAAGAATAATGCTATGCTCAACGTTTTGCTTGGCAAACTGTTTTTGTTAATAGTTTGTTAGCTAGCTTTTTGCAGCCTAATTGTGTACTGTATGAAGGAAAAACTTTTGTAGCTTGGAAGAGTATTGGAAGAGAGAAAATTATGAGGTTTTTTTCAATATTAATAATAATTTGGCCTGGAATACTACAAAAACCTGATAGGAATGATCATAGTTTAGATTACTACAAAAACTCTTGTAAGATATTTATCCTAACAAATTAAGTGCCTAACATTTCCTGAGTAATATTTTATTATCATCTGCTGATTAAATTATAAAAAGCCAAGTTAAGGTTCATATTTGTTTTCAAATTTTCTACTTTTCACCTCATCCCTTACCCAAAGCATATGAAGTTCTATACATTTTTTCCCCAGAAATTTCAACTTTCTTACATTTAAAAACCTTGATTTCAAAAATATACTGCTAATAGCACACAACTCTCATTTCAGAAACACTTAACATGCTACTGCTTTCTTCAAATAAGTTAACTAGAGGTTATGTTCTCATGAACTAAACTGAAAAGCTTGGCTAGTATTATTATATAGTATATTGCCATTTTATTCCATCATGGACAGCTCTTAAGTATCATGCAAAATTTTCCAGAAACCAGAACTTTTAACTTAAAATAAACCTTGGCTATAAAAGTTGTATTTTAATATTTTAAAAAGTGAAGAAGTTGGTTGAAAGTTTGTTGGTGGGGACNTTTAATCGGGCGCGCTTTAGTCGAGCGCGGTTTTGTCGTGCCACGGTTTATATGATATTCATACTTATACTTGTTTTCTCATACATTTGATAAACCAAATAAAATAAAATAAATAAAAATAAAACAAGGATCGAAACAAGAGTTTTTACTAGTTTTAACAGAGATTAGAGGAAACTCTTCCATGTTAAGTATATCTCTGGCTTATGACAAGCTGTGATTCAGCAAGCCAAGGGAAGATGGGAGACCAGGCAAGCTGTAAGGACAGTGAAAGAGAATTAGGCAACCTTCTTAAACAATGATCTATTGAAGAAGTAGACTAACTGACTAAATGAACAGAAGATTGTGCCTTCAAAGGGACATTCAGTTCAACTTATTTTTATTCCTTGCCTCCTTTAAAATAATGGTGTCATTTTCCTTTAGGAATAATAAGACTTTAAAAAAAAATTCAAGGTGAATAAAAATTTATTTTGAAAGTCCTCATGGTGGTTTCTTTATTTTCAACTTTTGGTGGGCGATATGAAAAGCAATGAAAGAAAGTATGGAGTTAGCTCACCTCTTGTCCCAAAGATGCTTTCCCCCCAAAAGCCAACTGGAATGCAGAATTGCAGGCAAACTCTACCCACAGCCAGGAGTTCAATCCTGACAGGGTTGACTCAACCGTCCATCCTTCTGAAGTCAGTAAAATGAGGACACAGATTGTTGGGGGGTAATATAGTGACTTTGTAAACTGCTTAGAGAGGGCTGTAAAGCACTGTGAAGCAATGTATAAGTCTAAGTGTTATTGCTATTGCTTTCTCCCCCCCCCTTTGAAAATGTTTTGCTTTTCATGCAAGAAGCTTTTTCAGTTCTTCTTGGGTGAGAAGCAAAACATTTTCAAAGAAAACAAGAAAGTCCAGTTGCCTTTTGGAAATGAGCCCCTTTGGGACAACCATGACCTGGATAACTGAGAATCCCCATAAACAAAATTTGATTTTGTAGATCTAGTGAGATACTTCAGCCCAACTACCGATTGGTGCACACTCAACAACAAATAGAGTCGAGGTGGTGCAGTGGTTAGAGTGCAGTACTGCAGGCTCCTTCAGCTGACTGCTCGTTGCAGTTCAGCAGTTCAAATCTCAGTGGCTCAAGGTTGTCTCAGCCTTCCATCCTTCCAAGGTGGGTAAAATGAGGACCCAGATTGCTAGGGGAAATATGCTGATTCTATAAACCGCTTAGAGAGGGCTGTAAAAGCACTACGAAGCAGTATATAAGTCTAAGTACTATTGCTAAATGTCACTTGGGGTCTCCTGGCAAACAAAGTAACTGGACAAACTAGGAAGTCTCCAAACCTGTTGGAAATTCTGATGCTTAGTGTTATATCCAAACTAGGACAAACCAAGTTTGTTCTCTCTCTTGCAAATCTAGACAGAGCAGTTTGCTCTGCAGATTAAGACTGGGTTGGATAGTGAAATACTTTTATTTCTACCTGGAAACCACTTCTGGACTTTATGCTTGAGGTGCAAAATGAAACTGGCTTACCAGTTAGATAGATTTGATGTTATAGAAATGGCTTACTTTAAACCATTATGTGAAAGTAAAAAGTCAATGTTTGATGTTAATGCCTTATTCTACTGCACCAAAGAGAGTCGGAATCCAATTGCCTTTCATTTTATTTTTCCCTTTTTCTTTCCCTCACTTTCCCCTTCCCTTTCCCCTTCCCTATTTCCCTACTATTTACTTTTATATTTTCTTTGTATACTATATTATAAACTAATAAAAACTGTATTTTTTTTTTAAAAGAGAGACTCTCCATAGACAGATACCTGTATTTTTCCTCTTCTGAATCACTTGGAAGGAATATCTATTTTGGGTTGGAGAGCAGAGCAAAGCAAAACAATGGGAGTGGGCAGTAAATCAATCCCACTTTTACAGAATATAGGAGAGAAATAAAATGCATTATTCTACAAAAAAGTGCATAACACTCTCCTGGCAAAAAGGGAAAAAAACCTGGCACTTTTGCCCAATAATTTGATTGTATCTGTCAGCAGAATGAAGGCTGTCAAATTCCCTTCAATCCTGTCAAATCAAACCAGCTTTTTCTTTCCTTGCTTGCTTCAGGACTGAGTCAAAACAGAACAAAACTCAATTGCAGAACTGACATTACATATTATGCCTGAAGAAATCCAACCCGTGAATTATTGTGATCTGGTTTACTCCACTTGTTGACTTTCCTGTAATAGATTATGCAATCTAGTGCCCAGTGTTATGATTCTGGATGTATAAAAGAAGATTTCTATGCAATGCTAGGCAGGAACTTTTTCCAAGATCTAATCTGGGTCAGTCAACAGGACCAGAGGTTTAGTTTTCCAAGCTTTTGGACTTGTGCTGGAGCCCATCGTCAGATAACTTCTCTGTACTGGAATTTGTGTTTTGAGTTATTTTATGAGTTGTATTTATGTGGTGCCTTCCTATTGATTGATTGATGTATTGGTGATTGGGTGATGTTTCCTTGTCCTAAGTACCTGATAAGCTGATGGTAAATCGGCATGTTTCTCCAGCTTCAATCATTTTCCTGGATATCTTTGTACTTGTTCGACCAACAATCTTAGTAATACATTTTTTCCAACTTTAGTTAGGCTGATAGGAATTAAGGTGGTAATGACACCTGGAATGTGTGGCTCAGTGGCTAAGATGCTGAGCTTGTCGATCAGAAAGTTTGGCAGTTTGAATCCCTAGCGCCATGTAGTGGAATGAGCTCCCGTTACTTGTCCCAGCTTCTGTCAACCTAGTAGTTGGAAAGCATGTAAAAATGCAAGTAGAAAAAATAGGAACCACCTTTGGTGGGAGGGTAATAGCGTTGTGTGTGTCTTTGGCATTGAGCCATGCTGGCCACATGACCATGTTTGAAATGGAGATGAGCACTGCCCCCTAGAGTCAGGAATGACTAGCACATAAGTGCGAGGGGAATCTTTACCTTTATCTTTAACACTTGGAAGGCCACAATCCATCTTTGATGGAGAGAGTTTGTCTGAAAGACCCATATGCAATCAAAAGTTGAATATACATAGTTTGAGATAGGACTTGTTGCCAAGAGCTTCCACAGTTCATCTTCCATAACAGTGGTGGGTTTCAATTTTTTTTAGAACCTTTTCTGTAGGTGTGGCCTGCTTTGTGGGAGTGGCTTGCTGGCCATGTGACTGGATGGGAGTGACTTGCTGGCCATGTGACTGGGTGGATGTGGCCA